TAAAGAAAGAAATCAGATCCTCAGCAAGGGTTCAAATATGGCTGATACCAGTTAACCAATCAAAATTCTGAGAGTTAGATGCATCAGCTCAATCAAATAGATGCTAGAGTTGTTCACGGACGGCTTGCAATGATCAACATGTTTTCACACAAACATATGTCGGTAAAATCACGGGACTGATCAACATGTTATTTTCTCGTATAATGATTTGGGCATGTATACTACTATGACTTCAAGTCGATTGGTTAAAGCACTAACGAAAAACAAATTTTCAACATGTTCGCTATTTTCGATGGAACTTAATTATGTAATAGAATCAATTTAATTAATTTATTTTTCTTACGCCTTTATACTTGTATTTAGTTAAGCCACCATTTCTGCCAAGATGTTGTAGTGTATTTTGTTTCAGTAATTAAACTTAATAATATAACCTAGACATACCGATAACAATGAATTTTGCTAGCAGAAATTACAATCTCAGATAAACTCAACTAAGGGCTGACTATGGGTCATCAGATGTTAAAATTGAACGTGCCTGAGAAACTGTTTATTATCCCAGAAATATATTGGCTGATCGTTTCGGTAAAGGCAAAGAAGTAACGGGTTTGGCCGTCTGTATTCTAATTACAATATATTAAGGTCAGCAGACATCCTAGATACATCAACAAATTTACCGATCATGTCAACATGATCAGGTCTAGTTCAGGAGTGTTTCTGAGGGTGGGGCCAAATCATGCCCAGACGTACATTGTGTCAGCCTCACACCAAAACTACGTCGAAATAATTTTCCACCTTCCCAGACTTCTGATTTGTGCATCAGACAAGTCAAAATTTTGCTGCCTCTGATGCAGCTCCTATACGGAAACTATGACCCTTATAATATTGTGGGTTTAAGCCACAAAAATGTACATGAACAGGAAGAGTGCTTTGAGGAACAGGTAGTTATAGCCCGAATAAGACACACCACATTGATAAACATTTATTATGATAGAAAAGTTCATGCCACTTAAATCCCAGCAAATTATAATCTGATTATGCCACTGGGATAATCCTGAATGCAGAGCGAATATCTTTTTTGGCCAAGTGGCAACCCTGATCAAATTGTATGATTCCTAAACCGCATCACCCACTTGTGTACTTAACTGTAGTAAACTCAGGTTGAATGCCACCATTGATTGAGTTACCATGTGGCCAAGACTGTCAGCATCCTTTATTCTATGTTCTTTTTATACTACCTGAAACCCTGCAAATATACAAAGACACGTTTTTGTCTAATCACTGAGAGACAGGTTGGGAATAACATAGAGCAGCCTTTTAAAATATCATTGATCGCTACCAGCAGTAATTTTGCAATTAAAACAGGCATTCTCCCTAAATGTATGTACGTATAATTAAGCACATTTATCTAAATCTAATTGTTCATAAGAGGGGCTAATAACCGAGCGTTGATGACGTTATGCTGCAATGAAAGCCAACAATTCCCATGAGAAGTTTTCTAGCATGTATTATCATTTTGGCAATACTAATTCGTATTAGTAATTGTACCGGGATTCCCTGTTTTGTTGAGTTGGCCATATACCTACAATCACAATGAACAGTGTCCACATTCGTAATTCAGTTAGACTTATAAGCCAGTTTATTCAGTTTCGGGTCTTCGAATTTTCTAGATATAAGACATTGCATCAGCCAATCAGATTGTTTTGACATTATATAGTTTTTCTTTATTAACAATAGATATTATTCTCAATTTAATGCTTCATCTAATAGCGGCAGATAAATACACAGTAGAAACAAGAAATGTTCTCTAATGGAACCTTGTTTGATATCAGATATAAACGGGAGCCAGTGATATAATGTTTATATTATTATTATTATTATCATTATTTTTAATATTATTCATCATACATACAATGACCAAGAAATTATATGCAATATAAGACAGTCAACACAAAAACAAGACAGCTCAAAGCTTGCACACTTGTCAACTCAGATGTTAATTTTCATAATAATTTATTTTTTTATATTTTCGTACATATTCACCCAACATATGTTTGTCAGAGGCAATGAGTCGTTGAGATTGTAACATTATAAATGGTCTTGAAAGTATAATAATTCATAACAGGTCAGATGAATAAAGAACCATTTTATTGCACATGTTTCGGTTAAAAGTCACCACTATTTCTATGCGAAAGTTTGATTTCGTGTTTTTTCCATATGAAGCTAAAAAACATAATGTTAATTTTATTGATCAAATGTTAACGTAGATGATGTCAAACATTTTAACATGGTAATTTTTTCTACAGCTGGCAGTTGCCTGGGTTTTTAATTTCATTTAGTTTGGAACCGTTATTCAACTAAAATACCCTCATGTCCAACTGAATCCCGATGCCAAAAACGCCAATCGGGTCACGTTTTCATATCATACCGAAGATTAATGTCTAAAAGTTTGATAAGGATTATTTATTGAAAGGGAAAACAACGCTCAGAAATTGAAAACAGAAACTTTTGATAATTGACCAAGTCTCCAACGACATTTATAAAATTCGTAACTCGTCCTTACCAGGACACCATTTCTGGTAGATTTTAGTGATGTAAATTATTTACTTTTTATAAGAGCACCCTCACAGCTTGAGCTATCTTTAGCCGGCAATTTTTCAGTATTCGAGTCATGTCTAATTTCATTTGTGCATAACATAGAATTTGATTTAGATTCAAACATGTTCTTAAAAAATGTTTTTCCAAATTTAAAATCTATTTCGCTCTTGAACCAATCGTCTGTAAAGAGCTTAAAATTTTTTTGTTTATTATAATTGCGTTTTTCTAAAGAGAGGAGGCATCTGGAACTTTTCAAGAATTTGTTCCCACTCACAATTCAGCAGAATGCGACTGGGACAGATCGGAATGTAACCAGGTAATATCTAATCTAGCTCCAGTAAATTTCCATTTATTTCTCTTTATTTTTCAATCAGATTTCTTGATTCAGACTAATAATAAGTATCCATCATCTCAATATCATTTTAATCTTTTAAAGGTTACATGCGTAAAATACTAAATTCAATTAACTATTAATATATTTTTTTCATACACCTAAAACAGCAAAACAGAAATAAGTAGTATATGTTTATGTCTTTCTAATGTGAGCTAGACTGTAAAACTGATATGTACTGCGACTTATTCAATATTCAATAAATGTTTGCATAAAGCCCTTGATAGGTGGACTCCTCGTCAGTTACACATATCATTGCATAATTGTCATTATCCACCTTTGGTTGGGTCTCCTGCAATGTAACCTCATCGTTATGTGTAACAGTAGCACTGATTTGTTGTGAGAGTTGTGATAAGTTCTTGTTCAAATACAATTGTCTCCTGATGTATATCAGTAACACAGCGATTACAACAACTGCTAATACCAATACGGAACAGACAATAACAATGACAATGATAAACACTGTATGTTCAGTACTCTCGTCTACAGTTCTTGCATCATTTGGCATAATAGTTTCTGCAACACAATTAAAGTTTGTATAAAGATCGATAGATTAGCTAATGATGTATACACAACAAATATTATAAACTGGTGCAAATAATGTAAATAGTGTAAATGCCATTTTCTTGCAACATGATGAATATTAATTGGGTACGAAACATATTGTCAGTATAAATGAATGTGTTATGAATGTTATAAGGAGGAATTGGGGATTGGGTCAGTTTAACAGTGTGTACACAAGCTCGTACTCCCTTTCCTTATAAAATGGTACTTACTTACAGATTTCTACTTATCACCAATTACACTCTAATTGTTTGTCAATGTCATTTATTCAATGAGTTGAATAGATAACACGAAATAAACTAATCTAAAAAATGGCACAATTGATGATCAATGCATCATATAAATGATAGACATTTTCGGAATAATGTATCGCATAGCATTTCGTGACACTATTATAAATCATATGCTGCCGGCATATTGGGTGTCACCTACGTGAATGACAAACACAGTATATTTGCTATCTTTTCATTGTAAAAGGGTACCACCATCACGGTATAATGGAATCGTGTGCACTTCTATTTTATTTAACTACACAAATCATGTTATATTCATTATACAGTAAAATGATATGATATTAGCGTCCAATGTGTGTCAACGCACTTAATCATTCACCACGATTAGCAAAAAACGAAAGTGAAAAATTGAATGCGTGTTCTTGTATCATTTTATTATATAATAATGTACAATTCTTACCACTTTCTGTTGCTGCGTCTATATCCTACAAATTAAATTACAAGATAATATTCACAGATCTACAAAACAGAATAGGTAAAAAAATTCCCACACACAGTTTATTTAATCTACCAGATCCATGTAAACAGCGTATATGTATATTTAGACTTGTTATCAAGTCAAGTTATAGTGTACGGAGAAAGTATTTCGCATATGAAAGCTGATCGAAATATATATTTAATGTTATTCACCAAATATGATAAGACAATAATTGTCGTGACTTACAAGCACATATATTATACATAGTGTTGTAGTGGCAAGAGGGGGATAACCTTTATCCTTTGCCATGACTGTTAGTGTAAACTCATCAGTTGATGTTTCAGAGTCGAGCGTATCTTTCAAGCCAATGACACCAGTAGATCTATTCACCATGAAACTACCAGTAAGCGGTACTACATCCGTAATACTGTATACTATCTCAGCGTTTACACCACTATCCATATCAGTTGCCTACAAATATAACAATTCGAATAAAATGATAAATATCTTGTATATTAGACTTAATCTAGATATTGATGTAGGTTGTGTATTGCAAGCTGTTAATAGCATAATCTCAACTGTAATATGAAAAAAAGGGTTTTCTAAACAAAACAAAACAAAACTTACAATTTCATATAATATTAAAGCTGCAGGCGGCTTCAGCGGGGTACAAGTGGGAGCAGAAAATGTTTATGTGAATGGTATGCTAAAATTATGTGACAGGTTGTGATATATGCACGCATGAGAAACAAATGCCCAACATTTTACCGGAAATATAAGACATCTACCAAATCATGTGACTGATCCACATAATTTGTTTTAAAGAAACTTGAGTGGCTCATTTTACTTGCAAAATATTTTGTTGATTGAATAATGAATTCATATTTGCACATATATTTACTGACAGACCCGCCAAATCCGATGTTCTTATCATCCTATTCCGCGAAGCAGGGAAGCACGGAAGACCAGCCCATTCCTATTTTAAACAAGTCAATTTATTTGTTAGTAATAATTGATATTGGGGTGAACATTTGTATCAAATTGTAATATTATACCGAATAAATCTAAAAACAGAAATTGTTCTCAATCATGACAATCTTCCAGGTCACCCTCGTAGAGCTGAATGTATGTATGAATACACATATACAAGTTGAAAGAGTTCGAGAGCAGTGATTGATCTCTACGGCCTTTTTACTTTCATGGTTGTATTGATAAACCTAATTTCAGCAGCTTCAGCCTGACAAAGAAACACATCTGGCGTCATCCTGTGCGCAGCTATACGCTACACTGAGTTCCAGTTCGCAATAAAACACTGAAACGAGCTGCACACCGCATGAGTATAGGTTATATAGTATAGTAACTATTGTGAAGTTGGAAACTACAGGCCGATCTCCGTTTTACCTGTCTTCAGCAAACTATTCGAATCATTCGCCAATAAACAGTTGTGTGCCTTTATGGACAAATTTAAAATTCTTTCAGAAAATCAGTACGGGTTCCGAAAGCAATATAGCACTAAACTCGCCTTAGCTGATCTCACAGCTAAAATCTCAAAAAGAATTGATGAAGGTTTTGTCACACTTGGTGCTTTTATAGACTTGAGAAAAGCTTTCGATACCATTGATCACAGTATTTTGCTAGCTAAATTACAACAATATGGGATTAGAGGGTCAACTTTGAACTGGTTTAAAACTTTTTTGGACGGTCGGCAACAATATGTCAGTACTAAAAACAATGATTCTGACTGTGAAACTATTTCCACAGAGGTACCACAAGGGTCAATCGTAGCCCTCTTGTTTTTTTTAGTTTATATTAATGACATTTCTAGATCATCCCCCCTTTTTTCATTCACTATTTGCTGATG